GACAGGTATGAGGTGGTATCTCATTGTGGTTTTGATTTATTTCCCTGATGATGAGTGATGTTGAGCATCTTTTCATGTGTCTGTTGGCCATCTGGATGTCTTCTTTAGAAAAATGTCTATTCATGTCTTTTGCCCATTTGTTAACTGGATTATTTGTTTTTTGGGTGTCGAATTTGATAAGTTCTTTATAGATTTTGGATACTAACCCTTTATCAGATACGTCATTTGCAAATATCTTCTCCCATTCCGTGGGCTGCCTTTTAGTTTTGTTGATTGTTTCCTTTGCTGTAGAGAAACCTTTTATCTTGATGAAGTCCCAATAGTTCATTTTGTGCTTTTGTTTCCCTTGCCTCTGGAGATGTGTCTAGTAAGAAGTTGCTATGGCCAAGGTCAGAGAGATTGCTGCCTCTGTTCTCCTCTAGGAGTTTGTTGGTTTCCTATCTCACATTTAGGTCTTTCATCCATTTTTAATTTATTTTTGTGTATGGTGTAAGAAAGTGGTACAGTTTCATTCGTCTACATGTTGCTGTCCAGTTTTTCCAGCACCATTTGTTGAAGAGACTGTCTTTTTTCCAATGGATATTCTTTCCTGCTTTGTCGAAGATTAGTTGACTATATAATTGTGGGTCCATTTCTTGGTTTTCTATTTTGTTCCATTGATTTATGTGTCTGTTTTTGTGCCAGTACCATACCATCTTGATGACTAGAGCTTCAGCAATCAGACAACAAAAAGAAATAAAAGGCATCCAAATTGGCAATAAAGAAGTAAAATTATCACTATTTGCAGATGACATGATACTCTGTGTAGAAAACCCAAAAGACTCTACCAAAAATTTGCTAGAACTGATACACAAATTCAGCAAAGTTGCAGGATATAAAAACATACAGAAATCTGTTGCATTTCTATACACTAAAAATGAAGAAGCAGAAAGAGAAATCAAGGAATCGATACCATTCACAGTTGAACCAAAAACCATAAGATACCTAGGAATAAATCTAACCAAAGAGGTAAAAGATCTCTACACTCTGAAAACCATAGAACACTTAGTAAAGAAATTGAGCATGACACAAAGAAATGGAGAAACGTTCCATACTCACAGATTGGAAGAGCAAATATTGTTAAAATGTCTATACTACCCAAAGCAGTCTACACATTTAATTCAGTCCCTATCAAAATACCACCAGCATTTTTCACAGAGCTAGAACAAACAATCCTAATTTTGTATGGAACCACAAAAGACCCTGCATAGCCAAAGCAATCTTGAAAAAGAAAAAGTGGGAGCATCACAACTCTGGACTTCAAGTTATATTACAAAGTCGTTGGCCAGTTTTAACTTTTTAATCCTGTTGGTCAAATATTTCCCTTCCCTGTGCTTAGATGCTCATTTTCTTAATGAATTAATTTCTATGCTCCACATGAGGTAGAGGATTAGGTCTTCTTATGTTACTTTGTGGTCTGAGAATGCTTTGATGAAAAATGTAGATCCTGATACCAGATATTTTCTTATACATATACCTCAAGGGAAATATTATTGAATATAAATTTAAAAAGAAGACGGATTTCAGAGTAGATACCAAATCTGGAGGCTGTTTTATTGGCAAGTCCTCTGCATTTAAAGGTTGTATTAATATATGTGCTCATATTAACTAGGCTAATAGACCACAAAGAAGCAATACATATCTTTAGATAGGCCTGTAGAAGAAGTGTTGCCTTTTGTGCTTGTCTGTAACCTTCCAGAGTATAATAATTGCTAAAGAGTAGTCTAATCATAGTAGCATAACACAAAAGATTAAAACAAAAAAGCCCTGTATAAATAGTGTAGCAACAAATTTTTCAAATATACCCCAGAAACTAAATTTAGAAGAGTGATTTTTCTAGATAGAGTCCTTATGTTTTGGGAAAAGCTCATTGTAGACTCTGGCATTATGAGATATATCTATAAGCATTTTTGCCCTCAATGATCCTTAGAGTTTTCATGAATCTCCTTCAGGCCCAACAAAGGGAGTAAGTGAATGTTGGTGAATACCTACGTGTTTTGACCTGGTAGGCTCTAGAGATAATCTCTGTGTTTAGTTTAATGTTAAGGTAAACTTGGCATTCTACCTTTTTCTTTCTTTTTTTTTTTTTTTTTACTATTTTTCTGACCCTGGAGCATTGCTTGCTGATGAAGCAGATCTTTGGGCCATTCCTTATATTTATAGGGGCCTTTAAGAATAGTCTTGAACTGATAGAGAGCCATTGTTATGTTCCTTTTGGATACCCTGTAACTGACTAAAGTTACTTTGATTATTTTTTTCTATAGTAGGCATTCAGTAAATTTTTTTTTAAGATTTTATTTATTTGAGAGAGAGAGTGTGCATTTGAGAGAGTGAGTGTGCACGTGTGCACCAGCGAGCACCATCGGGGGAGGGGTAGGGGGAGAGGAAGAAGCAGACTCCCCTCTGAGCAGGGAGCCTGACAGGGGCTGGATCCCAGGACTCTGGGATCATGACCTGAGCTGAAGGCAGACACTTAACTGACTGAGCCACAGGCGCCCCTTGAGTAAATATTTTTTAATAAGTACATGAAAATAAATGTTTTCTTATGTACTTACAGATTTTATTCTCTAGTCTTATCTTTAGGATTTTATCAATCTAAACGGGGAGAGATTTTGCTACACTTAGAAAACTACATTTTCTCACCTTGACAGTGCTTTTTCTCTCCTAACAATATATAGCATCACTTATTTCATGCTTATTTTTTTTTAAGTTTATTTATTGTTTTTAGTAATCTCTACACCCAAGGTGGGGCTCAAACTCAGGACCCTGAGATCAAGAGTCGCTTGCTCTTCTGACCTAGCCAGCCAGGTGCCCCCATCTTTATTTTATGCATAATCCTACATATTTGTCACTTCTTATGCTAAATTTTGCATTTTTATGCTTTTTAGTATTTCTCTTATCTACTTTCTCTCTCATCCTATGGCTATATCTTTTGCCTAGATTATAGTATTGTATGCCTTGCACCTTGACCAAATGTTTGAGAACTTCTTTCTTATTCCTTTACAAATGCTCTCCATATTTATAAAGGATGTATATACAGTATTAGGATATTTATAGTATAGCGAAGGAAATTATAGAACTTTAGCTGGAGAGAATTTTAACAATTGTCTAGTCTAGCTTTTTTCTTCATGAGTGAGAATAATGATGCTTAGAGAAATAAGCACAGTTTTCCAGTGTCCCCATGTATACATGGTTTTCCACTTTGCACTTTGGGGGTTTACTTGATTTGGAACAGTATCTTGGCAAAGGCGAATCAGAAGCTGGCTGACAGATTGAAGATTTAGATGGTAGAAAATAATTCATGGTTCAAATGTTTGACAATTCTAGAAAAACTGAGAGGCAGCAGGAATTATTTTGAAAGGTAGGGCAAGTGTGCTTGAGAGTAATGGCAGCAAAGGGGAAGGCCTTGGAAAGGGATGGCAACAATGGAGGCAGGATAACCTGTGACCAGGGGAGATAAGTTGTCCTCATGTCTATTTGTTTAGTTGTCTGCGTTCTTTGTACTTGTTATCAGTTTTAGAGTTTACCTTCTTAGAAGGAAGGGCCTGAGTCCCATTCATGGACCTAATAGTATCTAAACATGAATAATAGGGGTTGGGGAAATGATTTTAATGTCATGATGAACAAGAAGACATAAACCTCTTTTTTTTATTAAAGATTTTATTTATTTATTTGACAGAGAGAGAGACAGCGAGAGAGGGAACACAAGCAGGGGGAGTAGGAGAGGGCGAAGCAGGCTTCCCGCTGAGCACGAAGCCCGATGTGGGACTCGATCCCCGCACCCTGGGATCATGACCTGAGCCGAAGGCAGACGCTTAACGACTGAGCCATCCAGGCGCCCAAACCTCTTTTTTGAACACTATTGTGTGCTATGCACTTTCATGTAAATTATTTCAAAGACAGGATGCAATCAACTCAAACATTCAAAAATCCAATTTTCATTCTTTTACTTCATTGATTTCAAGTATCTTCACCAGAAGGCTAGCAACAAAGGAAAGGCTGTGGAGTTCATGTTATTCAGAAATTGCCATCATAGAGCTGGGGTCTGGAAGGAAGTAAATTCAGGAGCTCAGAAGAGTCCCTGTGGATTTCCTTTACACATATTGCTATGTATCTTGTAGGATAAATGTTGTACTCTCTTTGGAGGCATAAGCACCAATAACAGAAGAATTCAGGGCTAACATCTCTATGCACAGAGTAACAGAATTAGGGTTGTCATTTTAAGGTAAGTTTTAATGTTGTTCTTGTTTAATTGGGGTTTTTAAACAATTTTTCCCCCTGTGCTCTTGTCAGAAACCACCTTTTTGATGGGATCAAGTTGGAATACTTTTCAGAGTTAAACATTAAAGATACAGAGTTTTTTGGTCAGTGTTTTTTAACACTTTGTAATTCTTTCTGGACTAAGAATAGTTGTAATGCAAACCTTTTTTAATGTTAATACCATCTTTTTATTCTAGTCTAGTTACTTATATGCTACTGAGGAATGCAGGGTATCAGTACCAAGGAAAAGAGAAAAATTGCCTGTGTATATTTAATGAAATGTTTCAGAGATACATAGACTGTATATCTCATTGACAGGATTTAAATAAAAATATGAAAAAGATTCAAATCAAAATAAATTGATTGTGCCTGTTTTGATAAGAAATGAAACTGTGTTTTCAGTTTGGATATTTTTCTGTCCTGGATTACAATTTGGGAATTTATATTCTATGTAGGACTTTCCATATTTAAGATACTTCTGATGATTGGGAATATTTTTGATGTAAAAATCATATTCATATTTTATTACAAAGGTGTGCAAGATTGCCTTATGAAAGGTTAATTTTTAAAAAAGGCTAGCATAGATTATCCCCTTAAGAAATCAGCACACCTCTGGAAGAAATCTAGTTTTGGTAAATGACAGCTCTAGGCACGTATTTTCTTATTCTCATAGGCATTTTCTTTTCATTTTTGTATTTCAGAGTAAGCGAGGAAAAGGAAGTGACCGAAGAACGATTCCGAGCTGAGCAGGAATCGTTTGAGAAGAAGATCAGGCAGTTGGAAGAACAGAATGATCTGATCATCAAAGAAAGGGAAGATATCCTTTTTGAAAGTCCCCTGTTTTTAATGTGCAAGAAGTTTGGCTCTTCCATGAAGAAAATGTAAACTCCAGAGAAATAATTGTTCTAATTTATAACAGGGAATAAATCTGCGTGGGCTGCCATTTTTAGGCAATCAAAACGACACTTAACAGCATGTGCTGTTACTTCCTTTGTGCTTGATATGGCCACCCAGCTGTTCTGCTGCCGCTATTATACTGCGGAGCACATATTTGTCAACTAAAAAAGACAATAAGAAATTTGGGCATTAAAATGTAGTGTTGGAGCTTTACTAAATTCCGTTCCACTACTCTAATTGAGACTGAAACCTCTTTGTATTTGGCATTCTTTCTAGCTAAAGCTTTGACAGCCTAAGGAATTCTACTCTGAAATCATAAAAATTAAAAAAAAAAATCCATTGTAATTTGTAGATGTTATAATTGATAAGTGTTTACATTACAACATAATACCACCAAAATTCTCATGGAGGAGAAGACTGTTGGGTTTAGAACTAGAGAGAGAGGTGTGTGTGTGTGTGTGTTGCATTATTTGTAAGAAAGTAAAATAAAAACTGGTATTTAACTTAAGACTTCATTACCCATTAAGGGATATGCGAGTTAAAATAAGTATATTTCTGAAGTTTCTTTTGACTGGGCTACTTATCTTTGGATGTTTTTGCAGTGGTATTGATATAAAAGAGAAGTGACTGTCCCTAAAGTTAGGGTGAGGATTGGCCAGCTAACCTAGTATATGAATACTTGAAGGAACCAGTGCCCTTATTGGCAATATCATCATTAACTTGATCATTAATAATTATTTCAAAGGTTCTTCGAGTGTTAAAAATGATCATACATGGACAATAACTATACCTTTGTGAATACCAGGGAAATAGAAACATAAAGGTAAATTAAGTCACTTGGGAAAAAGCATAAAAATGTAACTGTAAAAAATGAGTTCTGAATTTCTTTTTTTTTTTTCAAAAAGTAGGAATACACAATTGGAAATTAATATAATCAGAATTTTCAGATTTGACTTGCTGAGTAGAACATTTATAAAGTTTATTTCCCCACAATTCTAAATTAGGTGTACTTTCTCAATTATTTGTTTTCTATAACTTTTAGCATTTGAATAATCATCTTGGATCTTCTCTTTTCCTTCATTGACTTTATTATTTTTATTTATTTATTTATTATTTTTTATAATTTTTTTAAAGATTTTATTTATTTATTTGAGAGAGAGAGACAGAGATAGTGAGCGAGGAGAGGGAGAGGCAGGCTCCCCAGTGAGCAGGGAGCCCAACGTGGGGCTCGATCCCAGGACCCTGGGATCATGCTCTGAGCAGAAAGCCGACGCTTAACCAGCTGAGCCACCCAGGCACCCCCTTCATTGACTTTATTGTACTAGGCTGTCAATATCAGGTTAGACCCTCTTTTGTGATTTTCTTCCTGCTGCCTTTCTCTCTCTGGGTTAAAGTAGTGCTGTTTAGTCAGAACTCACAATAAACTGTGCTCAGCCGTTTCGGGTCCTTCACTTGTCAAAGGAATGGAGACTCGGACTTCCAATAAAAGGCAGATTAGGAGTATTTTTATTTGTAACAAAAATTCTCATTTTGGGGCGTCTGCTTTTTTCCCACGTAACAACTCTGGAGATAAGTGGCCTCTGGCATTGCTTCCGTGGCTTAAAATTTTCAGCACTGGATCTCCACTGTTCTCTTAGCTTGTTCTAATGGTTGCAGAATTTCAGGTTGCAGAATGGTTGCTGTAATTCCAGGTATCATCTTTGCCCTAAGTCAGGAAGAAAGGGGAGGAAGGAGTTCGGGCAGTTGTGACTGTCTCCTTTTTTTAAAAAATGTGAAATCTTTCTCAGGGCACTCCCCACCCCACTCCCCATATTCCCAATCCCCCAGCCTCCAGTAGTCTTCCATGAGATATTTATTATCCTGAACTTTATTACATGGCCATGCTAAGCTGCAGGAGGGGCTGAGAAAGTAGGCATTTACCTTGTCCAATTTATAGAGTGAAAGGCAGCAATGGAGAAGGGGATTGGTAATGAAGTCAGCCTCCAACTCTATCTGGTAGCAGAAGTAGGGGAAATAGAAACCTTTTTCTATATAAGGGGGGGAGGTGATGATGTCTTGGCCTTCCTGAGACAAAAAAAAATTAGTATTATGTCCAGTGAAATTGGGGTAAAGTAGGGAAATAAGGTGAGAAAGGGAGATACTAGACAAGTTTGAAAGCCTGGCCACAGTTAAGGCCTTATCTATTTGGTAACGTGCTTAACCAAAATGTGTAGCTATCTGGAAAAGTTAAATCTAATTTTGGTGGACTATTATATTTTAGCACTCTTTGCGTCAAGATTAATGGATTTAGTGCTGAAGTGTGAATTCAGCATAGCTACGAATAGTTTCCTCTGTCAGCCTAAGTAGTAAGATACCCCAGGTGATTGTAGTAGCACAATTTTTCCTATTTTTCCAATGACATAGCTCAGGAATCAGGAAGCTACTGCCAGGGGCCAAATCCAGTAGGGTGCCAGCTACATCCAGCCGCGCCCATTCATTCATGTGTTACCTGTGGCTGCTTTTGCACTGCAGTTGCGAGCTGAGCAGTTGCAACAAAGACCCTGTGGCCTGCTTAGCCTAAAATATTTACTTCTGGCTCTCTACAGAAAAGTTTACTGACCCTTGATCTGTCTTATACACTAAAAAGGAAAGGAAAATGCATGTCAATAAAGTCAAAGACTTAGACATATGTCACAGTTGGAAGTATTTTACATACAGTATGAAAGGATTTGACTTGAGCATTAATTATCATTGTGAATGAAGATTGGTGTAAGTGTGAGACCATTATCAAAAATTGAAATGGTGTAGTTAATATAATTCACTTAAGATTTTTTTGAATCACCAAAAGATAGGTGGTATTTGTGGAACTGTGGAAGAAAGGAGAGAAGAAGATACCATCTAAAAACAGTGACACCCATGGTTTTTATTCCAAGTAGATTACTCAGGTACAAATCTCCTTTACTGGCATAAACCTGTCAAAGGTTAATATAGATGATTTTACAGTACATAAAACCCTATAAAACTTAGAAACATAAAACAAGGTTATAATTTAAAACAATATAATTTTAACTACAGATACATTGACCTATCATACATGAATGATTCAGACTCTTTCATATACATGAAATCAGATAATTTTAGATCATTTTACAGTCTGTTTCTGTGTGAGGAACTATATGAATTCTGATTTTTGGAATTTTAAAGATGTGTTATACTAAATTTATGGGTTTTTTGTTTTAAAAGTTCTAATAACTTGATTTATTGCACTATACAAACACAGACCAGTCCCTTGGTGAAAAAGAGAAAAGATATTGTACGTGTTTGCATTTGGACCAGGCTTTTGAAGATTTGTTCTTAACAGTGAATAGAGAATTTATTAGTAAAACATAAAAATTCTTGTAATTTTCAGTCTTTGAACAGTGCTTATTTCCTGAGAACTTAACTATGTGAATGAATATACTATTAACCAAGTCAAGCAGTCTGATGAACCTGGTGGATTTTTGCCTACCTAAATGAGTACGAAAGGAGAGATAAATGTGAAACTTAAAGAGAAATATGTCCAATAGGAATCGTTCTGAAGCATATTAGCGGGTAATAGTTTAAGACCCAGAGAATGTAACCATTAGAAAAGTTGATTAATATTTGAGCTAATTGTATTTTCAGAACGTATGTCTCAGGTCAGGATGATATCAAAAGCTTACAGAAGGAAAGTAAAGTCTGATGTTTGCTGTTGTAACTGGCAGAACAAGGGAAGTGATAGAGAAGAAAGTACAGTGGCTTTAGAGACAAAATCCTGTTTTCATGCTGGTAAGCTGTCTAACCTTGAAAAGCTACTGTCTAACCTTGAAAAACTAATGAACGTAGTTCTGAGTCTCTGTTTTCTTCTACAGTATGTGGATAGCTAATAATGCCTTCTCATTTCCTTGCCTTTCTTCATTGGGGCTCTGATGGCTTTCATCAGGTTATACAAGTGCCTAGGCAGTTTCGAGGCCTACCGGGAGAGTGAGAGTGATCGGCTCTCTGCTTTATCTTCTAATTTCTGTGCAAGAGTAACTTCTCTACACTGCTTACACCTATTGGGTCCTCACTGAAAGGAAACTAGGTCTGACTTTCTTCTCCCAGAAACTGGACTGACAAATTTTTTTCTCTTCCTGGTCTGTTCCCATTTTTTCTCTGATTGAGACTTAGTAAATTGAAGAGGTTTTTAGAGGTGCTTATAGCTCAGATCCTTGATCCCATTGCCTGGGTGGTCATTTTAGAAACCTTGCTTTAGGAAGAAAGAATTTTAAAGAAACTAAACTTAACCTTTTTGAGGAATGTTTTAAAATGAGCCAAAGGTCTCAGGATGTATGTGCTGGAAATAGACTAGAGAAAGTTCACAAGAGTTTTATCTAATTATGTAAAAAGAAATCACTGGTTTGAATAACAGAGATGTTCAAAGCTTCCTATTTAACTATACATCTCTACTACAGGAGTCAGACTAGCATGATCGGCTGTTGGACTTTTGCCAAGGATAGGAACCACATTGGAGGAGTCTCTGTCATAAATCTGGGTGCAGTGCTGTTGGGTGGGTAGGAAGGGTGGGGAAGGATAGTTGAAATAAGTTTCAAAAGAAAGGTTAAATTTTTCCTTCCTAATTAATTTTTCTGGCCCATCATAAGAGAAGGCAGGAAACCCTCTAGTTTTGGAAATAGTTTTGGGAGAATTAAAATTCTAATCTTCTTAAAATGAAGATTAGCAGAGGAGACGGTGTTTTGGTGTTTGACAGTGTGGTATACAAATGTAGCGAAGTATGTTGCCAAGCACTTATCAGCTGTGATGAATCTTGTCCTTTTTGTTTTCAATAAATACTGGGTTTTTGTTGTTTATGTTTATAAATTGAATTCTGTGGTGACAGAATATATTTCGTATTCTTGGATAAAGTCAGTTTACTCAATTTAA